AAACCTAGAAGAAATGGACAGGTATCTGAAACCATGGGAACTACCAAAACTAAACCAAGAAGAGATCAACTGCTTAAACAGACCCATAACACATAAGGAAATTGAAAGATTAATATAAAACCTCCGGACTAAAAAAAGCCCAGGACTAGCTGGATTTACAGTAGAATTCTACCAGACATTTAAAAAAGATCTGCATCCAATACTGCTTAATGTATTTGAAAAGATAGAAATGGAGGGGGAACTTCCAAATTCCTTCTATGAACCCAGTGTCACTCTAATACCAAAGCCAGGTAAAGATACAACCAAAAAAGAAAACTATAGACCCATATCCTTAATGAACATAGATACAAAAATTCTCAACAAAATACTTGCAAACCACATACAAACATACATCAAAAAGATCATCCACCATGACCAAGTCGGCTTTATTCCAGAGACGCAGGGAAGGTTCAATATACGTAAGTCAATAAACATCATACATCATATAAATGGAATCAGACAAGAACCACATGGTCATCTCAATAGATGCAGAGAAGGCCTTTGACAAAATTCAACATGGATTTATGTTCAAAGTCCTAGAGGGAATTGGACTGGAGGGAACATACCTCAGTATAATTAAAGCCATATATAACAAACCCACAGCCAACATCATTCTAAATGCAGAAAAACTGGAAGCATTTCCATGGAAATCAGGAACCAGACATAGTGCTTGAAACTCTTGCAAGAGCAATGAGAAGGAAATTAAAGGAGTAATAACTGGAAAAGGAGAGATCAAATGTTCCCTTTTTGCAGACAATATTATATCTAAGAGATGCCAAAAATTCCACCAGAAAACTCCTAGAAATGATTAACACTTTCACTAAAGTGGCAGGTTACAAAATTAATCTACAAAAGTCTATAGCCTTTCTATAAACCAATAACAAGCAGAGAAAGAGTACATGGAAACACTCCCTTTCACAATAGCTGCAAAAAATAAAAATATCTCAGAATAGCTGGGCAGGGTGGCACACTCCTTTAATTCCAGCACTTGGGAAGCAGAAGCAGGCAGATCTCCGTGAGTTCAAGGCCAGCCTGGTCTACATAGTGAGTTCCAGGACAGCTGGGGCTACAGGGAGACCCTGTCTCAATTGGAATAAACCTGACCAAAGACATTAAAGAGCTCTACAAGGAAAATTTTATTTAAAGAAAGAAATTGAGGAAGACATCAGAAGATGGAAGGACATCCCATGCTCATGGATTGGAAGAATTAATATTTTGAAAATGACCATTCTACCAAAAGTCATATATAGATTCAATGCAATGCTGACCAAAATCCCCATGACATTTTTCCCAGAATTGGAAAAAACTATCCTAAGATTCATATAGAAGCATAAAAGACCTCAGATAGCCAAAACAATGCTGAGAACAAGGAGCAATACCAGGGGGATTACTATACCAGATTTCAATTTGTATTACAGAGCTATAGTCATAAAAACAACATGGTACTGGCACAAAAATAGACCCATAGAACAATGGAACAAAATTGAAGACCCAAATATGAGTACATGCAATTTCAGCCACCTGATATTTGACAAAGGGGCCAAGAACATTAACTGGAGTAAAGAAAACATGTTCAGCAAATGGTGCTGGCAAAACTGGATGTCCACTTGTAGAAGAATGAAACTAAACCCCTATCTTTCACCCTGAACAAAAGTCAATTCCAAGTGGCTCAAAGACCTCAATGTCAAGCCTGAAACTCTGAAACTATTAGAAAAAAAACATTGGGAAAAACCTACAAGATATGGGCATAGGACAGGATTTTCTAAACCGGACACCAATTGCTCAGGAAACAAGGGCAAGAATTAACAAATGGAACCTCATTAAACTAAAAGCCTTCTGTACATCAAAGGAGGCAACCAGGGAAGCGATCAGAAAACCACAGAATGGGAGAAAATCTTCACCAGAGACACATCTGACAGAGGTTTAATATCCAGAACATATAACAAACTCAATAAACAAAGAATCAAGAAAGTAAGTAACCCAATTAAAAGGAGCTGAGCAGAGAGTTCTCAAAAGTAGAAATAAAGATGGCTGAGAAGCATCTTAAAAGATGTTCAGCATCACTATTATTAGGGAAATTCAAAATCAAATCACTTTAGGATTTCATCTTACCCCAGTCAGACTGGCGAAGATCAAGAGAACAAATGATACCAAATGTTGGAGAGGATGTGGGGAAAGGGGAACACTCATCCACTGCTCGTGGGGCTGCAAACTTGTTCAATCCCTATGGAAAGCAGTGTGGAGAACTCTTAAAAAACTAAAAATGAACCTACCATTTGACCCAGTTATACCACTCCTTGGCATATACCCAAAGAACTCATCCTGTTGCAGAGACACTTGTACATCCTTTGTTGCTGCTCTTTTCACAATAGCTAAGAGATGGAAGCAACCTACATGTCCCTCAATTGACGAGTGGATAATAAAAACGTGGTTCATTTATATGATGGAGTTTTACTCAACAGTAAAGAAAGATGAAATCATGAAACTTTCAGGTAAATGGAACTAGAAAGTTATACTAAGTGAAGTAACACAGACTCCATACAATATGTGGATCCTAGCACCAAATCCTGGTGAGTATGTATCCAGACATAACTACAGGAACCAGGACAATGGAAAGGAACTAGGGAGGTAAAGGAAAAGAAAGAATCTGAAAGAGAACAGTAGGAAACACGCATTAATAAGGGAGATATGGATAAAAATGGGGTTATTTTAAGGGAAGGGGGGAGGGAAAGTTATACAAGGAACCTTGGGAATAAAGGGAAAGGATCTCGAGAGAGGTGGGACCATAGGAGAAGAGTATTATTAAGGGAGAAATGGGAAAAACGGGGGCAGTTTAAATGGGGAAACCATGGTGGAAGGGTTAGACAAAGCGATAAATAATGCCTAGCTTAAAAAAAAAAAAACGGAGGAAACCGTATTAATCAAACAACCTACTGACAAATTATACATACAACTATCTCAAGGAATATATGTCTAGGAAAGGTTTATCTGAGAACCTTAGGTCTTTGCCTAAGCTTTACCTACATAGCACATGGTAATTAAAAGTAGCAGACTGGTGGAACTAACCTTCTTGGATGTTTAACAGCCATACTTTGAGACCTATACTTGTCCTCTTGTTCAGGGAGACCCCACGAGATAGACTTGAACCAGTGTCCAGTCTAAGGGTCAACTCAGAGGAAATATCTCATTCATGCTTCCAAGTGAAGTCAGACATGGTTGAGCAGGACTTTTGACTTATCTTCACATAGATGGAACTGGTAAAAGAAAAAAAAAAGAGCCAGTGGCTCCTCCAAAGCCCATGTGACCTCTGAGGAACAGATCTTCAAACGACCTTAAGAGTAAAAATAAATTGGTTTATCTGGGCCAACCGTATGATCTTAAACACCCAAAAGGAAAGTATAACCAAAGATTAAAGGGATCAGTATAATTCTTTAAGAGTCCATATGTATAGCTAAGGCTATTTAACAAGAAACAATGCCAGACAGGAGATACTTTCCTTTGAGTTGTTGGCCAGGGTGGCCAAAGGGACTCCCAGACAGTAACCCAGCCTAGACCTGGGAAAATGAACAGCAGACCCCAATCTTATCTAAAGGAATTTTAGAAACTGATTGCTGCTAGATGAGGAAGAGCTGATCTTCCTAAAACAAGGAACTCTAGATAGGCTGATTAGATTTAGCAGATAGACAAGCACTGGGGAACAGCTGGGGGTGCTGACAACACAGTGGACAGTAACGGGGATGACAGAGTATATGGGCTCCAGTGGGGGAGGGGGTGCTATTTGGGATGTGGGTATATAGATGAGTAAGATTGTTTGGGATATTCTGTATGAAATACACACAGAAAAAAATGAATTAAAAATGAGTTATATTTGAGGAAGCATAATTTTTAATTTTATGTGTATTGCCTGCATGTATGTGAGTGCACCCATGTCATCCAATGCCATGGAAGTGAGAAGAGGGCTTCAGATTCCCTTGGAACTAGAGTTAAGGATGGTTCGTAACTGCCATATGGGTACTGGGAATCAAACCTGGGTCCTTTGCAAGAGTAGTCAGTGAGCTTAACCACTAAGCCATCTCTCCAGCCCCGGAAGAAGTGTAAAAATTTGCTTCCTGTTAATTAGTAGAGATGAAAAACATTACCATTGAAACCTACCTGATGACTTTATATCCATGCTCAGGTGCCAAGGATCTCAGAAAGTAACCGACCGTGACTAGTAATAATCAGATAGAGATTAGAGATGCATGTGCAAACATCTAAGTGTTAGTAGCATTAAAAATGAGTTTTTCTAGCTGGGGCGTGGTGGTGCACGCCTTTGATCCCAGCACTTGGGTGGTAGAGGCAGGCAGATCTCTGTGAGTTCAAGGCCAGCTGGGGCCACAGGGGGGAGACCCTGTCTCAAAAAGACCAAAAAAAGTTTTTCTGTATGAAACAGCATATTTTAAAATGAAATGGAGATCTTTTTGAAAGGTTAAAACCTCACTCAATTTTATGTCTTACAGGGTTTATACTGAGTTCAATATTGTATAACTATATTAATTCAACTGTGAACCTAAAAATTTACAGCCAGTTTTGAAAGAGATGCATCTTTGCTCTGTAAAGTGTTATTGAATATATTAATCCTATAATGAAATGTTTCTTCTAATCATGTGGTTATTAAATAAATAATTTAAAAAATTATTATTGTGGGGTTGAAGAGTTGGCTAAGGGTTAAGAAAGCTGCTCCTGCAGCGGACCTAGGTTGGGAACCAGTATCCACATGGCAGCCAACAACCATCCTTAACTCCAGTTCCAGGAATCTGACACCCTCCTCTGGCCTTGTACAATGGGATACACATATATCCATGCAGACAGAACATACTCATACACAAAATAAAACAAAAATGAATAAAAATTTTAAAAATTGTGTTGTATGTTCCAGTTTGCTTTCCTGCTCCTGTGACAAAATACCATGACTCAAAAGCAACTTGGGGAAAGGTTTATTTCAGCTTACAACTCCTAGGTCACAATCCAACATCCAGGGAGTCAGGGCAGGAACCTGGAGGATGGAGCTGAAGCACCGAGCACGGAGTATGCTGCTTCCTGGCTCGCTCCTCTGGCCTGTGCTCAGCTGCCTTCCTTTGAGACCCAGGCCCCCATACTACCCACAGGGAAGCACTACGGAGGTGAGACCTTGTCTGGTGCTGAGGTGGACATTAAAGCAATGATGTCATGATTAAATAAGTTTTTATTGTCACATTTAACTGCTTTTCAGATACACATTGTAGATTTTAGTATGGCATAAAAATAAAAATATTTTCCTGTCAAATCTGGACAGAGGAGATGGCAATGGCACTTTAAAAAACTGAAATTCATACTGGTGCTGAAGCCCCTAGTAGGTAGCTGATAAAAACTCAACACGTCTGCAGATAAAGTGACCCACAACATTTAAGATCAAATGGCAGTGGTAGTAAGACCAGCAAAACCAGGACAGAGGATACAATACAGACCCCACAGAGCATACACCCAAGCATGGCAGATTCAGCATCTCACTTTGAAATCCATATTATATTGTCTGATTTAGGAGTGGAGCTGCAGCTCATGAGAAAACACCTCTCTATAAAATGAAATGACTCTACTGGAACCGGATTTTAAGCCTTTTAATGACTTCCTTATTCTTACAGGTTTTAACTAGTCCAAGGAAAGGCAGTTAATGTGCAAGAAACAACTTCATGGGTCAACCTCATATAAACCATCTTACCATTTCCAAACTGGGAGCACAACATCCTCATAAATGTTTTAGTGGTTCACACATTCTGGGCAAAACCAGAAAATAAGCAGTAATTAAATAAAACACAACTGCACTCCCACGGTTTCTACATATCTGCAATTATCCCCAAAATGGCAGCTTAAAAATATATGGTTATTTGGACTTGAAGTGCATCTTTCTTCACCAATGTTCCCAATTGGCTTATTAAATGTCTTTCCTCTACAAGTAAAACACTAGGACCTCTCAGACCTAAATGCCTTATATCCCTTACATAGAAACTCAGCTAAGCTCACTGTTTAGAATCTGCTCCTCACATAGCTCGGGTCTGGTGTGTCCCTCTTTGCTAGCCACTGTGCGTGTCATGTCCTTCCTTGAAGACTCCAGAACAGAGGCCAAAATGTGTGAGGGCAGTGCGGCAGTCACCGTCACCCACCAAAAGCAAAGTAACTAACTTATTTCATGACATACTTTGTTTGGATGATTACTTACTGGTAACTAGTATTTCTACATTCTTTTAAAGGCAATCATTTGCAGTGACAATAGAGATCAGGCTAGTAGAAAAGAGCGGAAACGAAGCCCTCTTCACTCTCGCAAGCCACGCAGACGGGACTTGTTTCAATCAGGCTTCTTGGATTTAACAAAATTTCTTTTCTGGCAAACATGAATTTGGCTCATCATAGAAAGAAGTTCTTTGAAGGCTGTTGCTAAACTCATTTCCCTTTGAAAAAGCAAATTTCAAGGCATGATAGTGCAAGAGGTAAGTTTTTGATTTCTAGAATATTTAAAGACTAATTGTGCTTAGTCTCTAATTTCCAATTTATTTTTAAAGAACAGAAACTACACTGGTAAGTTTCATTTCGCCTAAATTGACCAGCACATCCATGAATCGCACCAGAATTAGGGCAATTTGATTATCTCAATGATTCTGTTGTGAAACCCGTGCACTGCATACACAGGTGAGGGCCAGCAGAGGGCCCTGAAGTTCTGTGCACAGGGCGCTCCTCTCGGGAGCCCCAGACTCTGGGAGAAAGAAGTTCTCTCCTCAGGTTAAGTCCACAACAAACTCCCTCTCAACAAGCCATTAAGGAAAACAGTGCCAAGTGGAGCGTGTCCTCTGTTTACTTAGATCTGGGAGGTCTGAGTGTTCCTGGGGTCCTCATCGGGATGTGTCACAGGCTGCGAATCCTTCGGATGTGAGGATTCACTATGAGGGGCCTCTGCAGGGTCAATCAAATTTTCATAATCACTGTCATCTGACTCCTCACCACTGTCTCCGGTTGCTCTTTGGGAAGGAGGAAGATCTGCTCCACTTCCAGGATACTTCAGTCCAGCACTGGTGGAAGCATAGTTGGAAGAGCCCACGGCTTGAGGCCGAGGCATGAAGACACTCCTTTCTATGTGAGAATGGCTCAGAGTACTTTCTTGATTGTTTGGGTGAAAATCAGAGTAAGGGGGAGGAGGATCAGAGGGCTCGGTGTCTGCTAGTGCACTCCTGCCCTCGGCTGCACACCCAGAATAGGACAGCCGAGAACTGAAGGTTGGCTCCAGACTTTCAGATGGCACCTGTCTGCTTACCGTGGCCTGCTGCAATCCTGCATGAAAACAAGAATGTTAACATGGGCCATCTCTTCACAGCCTTTCATCTCCCTGTGGTACATGGTCAGCCTGAATGTTCTGGAAAACAGCACCAAGGCCATGAACTGATTGTTTACTGGTTTTACAATAGCATAACAGAGTTTACAACGTATTTCTCTCTATATTCATTCATTCAAGTCCCATAACAACCTTCTGAATTGCTAATGCTATCTTCACTGTTATTGTTTCCATAATGGATGCAATAAACCAAAGTTCAGAAGACTAAGCAATCTGACTAGAAGTGGGACCCCAAGAGGCAGAACACAGGGGTTGTCACTATTCTGCCTGCCTATTCCTCACTGAACTTCTGACTACCAGCTGTCACTGAAACAATCCTTACTACCTTCTACATGCCATGTGAACAGAGAACTTTCTCTAGACAGCATCCTATCAAATACCATATTGCTTTAAAAATTTTTTTGATGTATATGTGTGTGTATCTGTGTGAGTGTATGCTACATGTGTGGGGGTGGCCGGGGAATTCAGAAGAGCATATCAGAACTCCTGAAGCTGGAGTTACAGGCCCAGTGTGGGTGCTGGCATCTGAACTTGGGTCCTCTGGAGGAGCAGCAAGTGCTCCTAATCGCTAAACCATCTCCCCAGTCCAGTTTATTTTATTTTTAAAGATTTTTATCTTTATTATTATTTTTTTGGTCTTTTTGAGACAGGGTCTCCCTGTAGCCCCAGCTGTCCTGGAACTCACTGAGACCAAGCTGGGCGTGAACTCACAGAGATCTGCCTACCTCTGCCTCCAGAGTGCTGGGATTAAAGGCATGCACCACCACGCCCAGCTATCTTTATTATTTTAAATCACGTGTATGTGTGTATCAGTATGTGTGTATGTGCACTTGAGCGTAGGTGCATACAGAAGTCAGAGACGACAAACACATCCTCCCTCCCACTCTGGGAGATAGAGTTATAGGCAGTTCTAAGCTGCCAAATATGGGTCCTGGGAACCAAACTCCAGTTCTCTAAAAGAGCAGCAAGCACTTTTAGGCACAGGGCCATCTCTCTACTCCCCTTTGTTTTTGTTTTTTGAGACAGAGTCTCATGTAACCTAGGCTGGCCTTCAACTCCTGACCTTCCTCCTTCTATCTCCCAGGTGCTGGGATTGCTAGGTATTCATCAGCCTGGCTAAATGCTATATTTCTTTACAACTACCTGTTATACTTATATACCACCTTCTTAAAATGTTTAAAAGCCCTATGTTAAGTGTTTAAGTGTTTGATTTTCTAGGTACTAGAATACGAATTTGCCAGTTTTAAGACTACTCTGAAATAGCTCAGAACCATCAACATATATAGCCTTAAAAATCTTTTTATAGGGGCTAGAGGTTTAACTTAGAACACTTTCTTAGCAAGTACAATGCCATGGGTTCAAGCTCCTGCATCATATACACAAAAACTATATATAATAGATATTAATCCAAGTTCACTTCCATGAGTATATAATATTCTATCACACATATGTACCATAATTTAAATTTTTAGTTAACTATAAATTGATATACTATACTTTTTTATGTATTTATAATGTGTGGTGGTCTGAATGAGAGTGTCCCCCATAGGCTCACAAGTCTGTAACTTGGTCAAGCAGGGGTGCTATTTGGACGTTTAGGAGGTGTGGCCTTGCTGGAGGAAATGTCACTGGGGGTGGACTTTTGAGAGTTCATAGCTTTGCCCCACTTCTTCTTCATGCTGCTCCCTGCACGATCCTGAGGATGTGAACTCAGCTTTGGCTCCTGTCACCGTAGCTGCTGCTTGCTGCCATGCCCCTCTGCCATGATGGACTCTCGCTGCCCTGGAACTATAAGCCCAAATAAATTCTTCCTTCTGTAAGTTACCTTGATCATAGTGTTTTATCACAGCAACAGAAAGGTAACTAAGACAGAAGGGTACAGAAGACAGAAGGACTGAGGGGTACTGCTGTGATGGAACTGACCATGTTGTTTTAGGGAGGATTGTGGAAGTACCTGGAATGTTGAGCTGGAAAAGTCAATGAGTGCTTGGAGCTTCAGGAGCTGTTTTGTGGGGATGTGAAAGACAATGCTGAGGACAATGGACGTGGAGGCCTGGCCTGGGACGGAGGCATCAAAGGGAAGCAAATGCTCTATTAAGTTGTGATATATCTGGATTAAGAATTTGTGGAAGTGAAATCTTTTGTTCTTTATTGGGTAGCTGGAGCTGGAAAACCAGCTATGATTAGTAAGAGACCAGCACCACTGAGATAAATCTTTTGGTAAGTATTACCTCAGATCAGCACCCGGAAGACATGGTCCAGAGAGGGCTAAGGCTGCATCTCAAGCTAAAAGCTGGACTTGGTAACATGTAAGTCTCCCAATGGTACTCATTTAGGCAACATGAAAGCTGCAGAACCAAAGGGGTCATGGAGAACCTGAGGCTTGGTGCCCTATGAGACCAGTAGAGACCATTGGTGAAGGTGCAGCCTTAGCTGCAGTAGAGACCTCAGCATACTGGAAATGACACAGCCCACAGCCCAGCCCCACATGCTTAGGGATGCAAACCAAGGGAAGCAAGCAGTAAGCAGCACTCCTCCATGGTCTCTGCTTCAGCTTCTGACCCCAGGTTCTCCTGGAGCTCCTGCTCTGGCTTTCCTCGATGATGGACTGCAACCGTTACGTTCAAATAAACCCTTTCCTCTCAAACTGGTTTTGATCGGTGCTTTATCACAGCAACAGAGAACAAATTAGAACATGATGTATAATTACCTATTCAACTGTTCTAGTGTTATATTCACCTATTCAAAATCCCTGTCTGCATTTCTGATTTCTTTTTTCTTTTAATATTTTTTTAAAAATATTTTATTTTTATTTTATATGTATGAGTA